TTTTTTTTTTTTTTTTGGTTTTTTTGAGACAGGGTCTCACTGTGTAGTTGAGACTGACGTGGAACTCACTATGTAGGCCAAGCTGGTCTCAAACTCACAGCGATCCTCCCGCCTCAGCTTCCCGAGTGCTGGGATTACAGACCTGTGCCACCTCGCCCAGCTTCCTTAATTGATTTTTAAAGAACTTGAGGGAAATGTTCCTGTCATCAGCCTTGAGAATATGGTGTGCTGGTCAATTATCTTGCAGCCCAGACTTCCCCATGTACCCCCAAACTCTAAAAACCATGACACACCCGACCCTCCTCACCTGGCTTGTAGGTCTTAAGGGACCTCTGCTTCAGGGAGTTGACAATGTTGGCCACAGCGACATTGGCGTGGAGGCCAGCAAGATAGGCCATCTTGGGCTCCTTCAAGTCAGCACAGTCACCAATGGCGTAGATGTTGCTGTAGCCCTCAACCTGCAGGAACTCATTCACTCTCAGAGCCCCGCTGCTGGCCATTCTGCTCTCTGTGGGCAAGATGATACCCACGCAGTCCCCTGAGTAACCACGTTTGGCCCCAGGCACTGGCTCAGTCACCCTCAAGAGACTATCATCCCCCTGCACTCCTGAATATACAGACTCTTCCTACAAGGGCAAGCGTATCCCAGGATGTGCACAGAGCTTTGCTAGTTACAGGTGACTGGCCAACTCCTAAATTTTCACTTTATCATAGACTAGAATTTTAAAATAAATCCAGGTTTTTAATACATGATCAATTGCATTTGTTTTTAAGGGACTGAACAGAATTTATCTTTGAAAATGCACTAGGATCATTAAGTGCTAAATTCTGGGTTCTCTGTCCACTATAAGCCTCTGTTCTCGCCCTGGTGCACAGCCAGGACTGACTTTCTGGGCATGTAATAAACACTTCCTGCTGGACCCAAGGCTGAAGCTCCTGATTACGGAAAGGTGCTCAGAAGTAAATGATAGAGACCCTGCCACTGAGTCTCCTACTCACACACAGCGTCTCAAACATTCATCAGTCCACCAGGCCTCTACCTACAGGGGCTAAATAAATCAATGTTGAGTTTTAAGAAATGAGGCCATGTTAGAGCCCCTACCCTCTAAACAGTCCTGCAAGCTAAATTAACCAAAAGTTTAAATCTGGATTTGAAGCGAGCAGGGCACTTGTGAACAGTGAAAGACCTGGCCCCAAATTGCCTCTGCATCTACATAAACGAAAGTACAGGGCAGGGAATCTAGCTCAGTGGTGCCACCACCTGCCTTGAAAGCGCAAAGACCTGAGTTCATCCCCAATAACCTCTTCCCCTCCCAAACCGCCAAAAAAAGAAAGTACAAAAGCAGAATGGAATCCTTCTCATCTCCCAGAAGACTGTTCCCACATCTTACCACTAGGTGGCAGCCCTAAGATTAGTCTCCTTTTGGTCTCCGACCACATGGAGCTAAGTCATCATCACAGCTGTGGAAAGCTCAGAAAGCAGGGACCCCACTCTGAAGTTAAAAGTTCAAGATCACCTTTCAGAATAGTATAACTGAGCTGCTGGGATGAAGGAGAAAGGCAAGGGGGGGTGCTGATTTAGAGGGCGAGAACTGTGGGCGGCTCAAAGGCGTACTGGAGAGTGAGTAGTGGCCTGGGGACACAGGCCATGACTGGGCCACCTGCTTACCGAAAGCACTGCAATAGGCAGAGCTGTTGATCTTGATGCCAATGCAGGGAATCACCAGGTTGGTGGCCACCTCGGTGCCCTTGTCCGTCTGCACTTTGATGTAGTCCCGATACTCACTGAGGGGCAGCTCCTCCAGGTTGCTCACCCGCTCACCTGTCAGGGGGCCCATGAGCAGGAGGCTGGCACAGGCTGCTCCTTAGTCCCCTCCACTGCCCCAGAAGCACAATGTGGACATCTAAGCCCAAGAGGCACAAGTGGAGGAAAATTCCAAGGGTAGCTGGAGGGAAGCGAGGCTGAGCTTCCAAGAAATCCCAGGAAGAGCTGATCAACAGAAGGCCCCAGCATGCGTCCCTGAATGACAGCCACCCCTTGTCTGTGCAAGAGGACCTCTCCCAGCACACCACCCACACAGGTGAATCCGGGAAAGGCGGAAGCTGGCTTCCTGTCCTCACACCCCGACCGTATGGCGCTAACAGACCTCCATGACCCGTTACCACAAGGAGGCTGTGACGGCCACGAGGGACTATCAGAACAGAGGCCCCCACACTCCCCAACTTCTCCACAAACACTAGGAGTCTGAGGCCCAGCATGGTACAGTGTGGGCGTCACAACCCTGAACAAAAGCCATACTCACCACCCTCAAAATGCAAACCAATAAGCGCATTCCTGCTACCACTGGGACAGCAAAATAAAGGGGCAACTCCTTTAAATGCACTTAAAAAAAAAATCATTCAGCAAATACTCATCCACCATATTCCTATGCCAAAGCAACAGCTAGGGCATAGCTGCCTCCGTGACCTGGACCTCCAGCTGGACATGGGCTGTGATGCTCAAAATCATTTCCAGGACTTCATGATTAACCCTGGGTACAGTGGCAAAGAGGGAGGGGGTGAGGTCACACGTACTCAGCAGCAGCTGCACGCCCTTCCGGAGAAGGATCTCCTTCACTTCCTGTCGCACACAGGGCAGGAGCTCCTTCTCAGCCAGGGATACTTGGGAATGAATGAGAGTGACCTAGGGACAAAACAACCACAGGATAACCCCTGAGTATCCGGCTCACAGGAGCACCCATCTCCTCCCTCACCTCCAGGTTACTACAGGGGAAACTAAGCCACAAGAAGTAATCTGCACAGTACTGGAATTAACTAGTAAGAAGCCAGGTTTGATCCATGCCTCCTAGTCTAGGACGCTCTCGGTACCATTTCGCTGCCCTGGGCCACAACCCACACCTCACCCAGGGCTAACTTGGGAATTATTCTCAGGCATCCTTGGGCGCTTATAATTAGGTAATCTATATACAAATCATAGGCCTTCCCACCTACACCAGGCTCTTGTCAACATTACAGATGTTTCTAAAAGTAGCAACCACAGGTGTGCTTGCTGCCTGTGTCAGCGCAAGGCGGGAGAGGCAGCCTGTGACCACGTCCAAAGCCTGGCTTTGAATCAGACATCCCGTATCTGAAACACACATCTCCCAAAGACGAACTAACACGGGCATGAGAGTCCCTCTCTGGAATATTGTAATGATGAATGAAAAAATACGTATGAAAGAGTTAGGTTAGTACATACGAATTCCTCAATAAAGAGTGGCTGCTATATTACTCTAATTTGCCTATTAATTATAAGCATGCAGATAGTGTATTTTGTATTTGGACTTGTTTACTAGTTCAGACTGGTCTTTACCTCTGTGACACCACCCAGTGCCTGACACAGAGCTCTTTTAAAACACTTGTTGGCTAAATCTTTTGTTCTAATATTTGTTTCCTGATCCAAAGCATCTAATACACCTTTGCAATTTCCTGAATGACATAGAACTCCTGAATCCTTGGAATTGCTCGGGTGATAGGAGCATCTTTGGTACTAACAAGAATACTCTTGGTTGGCTCCTGGACGGGGGGCCTCCACCAGGATGGGAATTTGGAAACTTCAGTCCCATCCCCACCCCCAGCCACCAGGAAAGGGCAAGGAGCTGGAGACTGAGTTAATACAGTCCATCTGGTCTCCATTGTGAAGCCTCCCAAAACTGCATACAGGGTTCGGAGCAGCTCCACGTTGGTGAACATGTCTCTGTGCCGGGAAGAGGGTGTACCCCAACACAAGAGGACAGAAACTCCTGTGCTGGGGACCTTTCCAGACCTCACCCTAGGGGCCTCTTCACCTGGATGTTCAGGTATCTTTTGCGATAAGTCAGCCATGAGAAGAAAATGGGTATTCTGGGTTACCTATAAACCCCTCTAGCAAATTATCAAATCATAGGAACTTCTGAATTATAGCCATTCAGAGAGAAGGGCAGGTAAGCTGGGACCTACTACTCAACACTGGCATCTGAAGTAGGGACAGTCATGTGGGACTGAGCCCTTGACCTGTGGGGCCTGCGCTGACTCCGGGTAGCATCAGAGCTGAGCTGGACTTTAGGACGTGAAGTCTGTGTCAGAGAACTGGGTGGTGTGGGAACAAAGCCCACACATCTCATCACAGTGGGTTTTCCCTATGCAACTCTCTTAAGTCAAAATGAATAACCTTTCACTTCTCACTCACTCATAATTACCAACAATTTGTCAGAAAACAGACATACAATTCAATTAGTCATGATTAATATTCCCTTTCAAAACCAACCTGCCTTTCCCTAGAGCAAAAAAGAGCCACGCACAGGCTCAAAAGGCTCTCAGAGGCAGCCCACAGCAGCTGTAAGCAAGCTCCAACCTGCAGGACCCACAATGGCCACCAACATTCAACCCTCACCATGCATCAGAAGGGTCCAGGCAGGCTGATGCCACCTCCTGTATAAGCAGTTGTTCCCAAAATGGGTAGGTGAGAGGCCGCTCCCCGACTGCCACAGGCATGGACGACCATGTGATGTCCAGGGCAAGAGACCAAGATGCCACTGAGGGTGTACTTGGCCAAGCTGGCTGCCAGCAAGAAGAGATCATTAAAATCTAGGTTTTATCACAGAAGCCTGTTTTTTTTTTTTGTTTTGTTTTTGGTTTCGGGGATCAAACTCAGAAACTTGTGCTTGCAAGGCAGGTGGCAGAATCACTGAGCTAAATCCCTGGCCCTGGAAACCTAATTTCTTAAGGGGCACGAAAAATCATCTTTATAAGGGATCTCCCTGGCTTCATCTTCCCTGTTGGACTGGTGGACAGAACACTTCCTGGATGGGGACATAGTCACAGAGGCCCTGTGAGGTCAGGAGCCAGAGGATCCTGGCTTTTAGAAAAAACTTCCTGCAGATGTGCACTTCAGCAAAAGACGAGAAACACTCAGCTGAAGTGAGTGGAGTTCTCAGGCCCTCGGCAAATTCCTTATGCTCATGAGGTAAAGGAGGAAGAAGTCACTCAGAGCTGAAAGCCAAGGCGGCCAGTCTCACCCCTTTCTCTGGGTAGTCTGTTTTGATCTCGGCTGCCATTTCTACTCCGGCAGAGCCTCCTCCCACCACCACGACGAACTCAGAGCTCTGGATCTGGGGGCAAAGAAACAATGAAACACACACCTGGTGGTCCACTCTGTGTGGACTCCTTGGCCAAAGGAGTGCGGAGCACTTGCTGTACTGGGTTCTCCTCCCTGCCCCACAGGACTGCTATGAAAACTGAGGTCAGGAACTGAATCTGCTCTAAAAAACCCAAAACCCTGTGTAGGTTTTTTTTGTTTTGTTTTGTTTTGTTTGCGGGGGGTTGAGGCAAGGTCTCCCTTCATAGTTCAGGCTGGCCCTGAACTCACTATGTAGCCCAGGCTGGCCTCGAACTCACAGTGATCCTCCTGCCTCTGCCTCCTGAGTGCTGGGATTACAGGTGTGCACCACCACACCTGGCTCTTCAAAACCCTGTGTGAACACAAGACCTCAGGAAGGATCACTGGGACAATCAAGCAGGTCTGGGGAGTGAGAGTGTGTATCCAGGCCTCAGGGACAGGCCCGAGGCTCCTCCCAGGAAATCCCTTCCCAGCAACTTCCAAATGCCCAGCTGCCTCCGCCATTCTGAAGCCCTTTCCGTGCATTCCCTGTCCAGCCCGCTATCACCCCAGCTGTCCATGCCACATGCCCGTCAGTGGCAGCTCACCTGTGTGACCATGTCTTCATAGGCCTGTATGGAGGCCTGCTGGCTGCAAGCCTTATTAAACTTGCCAGGGAAGGGCCCAGTGCTGCCCGTGGCCAGGATGAGATGTGAGAAGGGCAGGGCCTGCGGGGGACAAAGGAAAAAGAGGTGAGGGTGAGACAGGGTGGGGGCCTGGGAGCACTGGGCAGAAGAGGGCCCTGTGCACCAAGGAGGCAGCCCTGCTGGGAGGCAGGAGATCCCCACACCAGCAGGGCCAAGGGACACCACTAGAGCCCCAATTTTCTCTCCGCCTGGAGAAGCCTGGTGGCCACAGAGGCGGCCACCATGGGACTTGGGGAGGTCAGCGAGGAACAGGAAACTGCTTGTGGGGAATGAAGCAGGAAAACAGGCAGGATGCACACGTCCAATGCGGAGAGTTAGTTCAGAATCTCCTGGAAATTTTAGAAGAAACCCCCTTCTCTACCGCCTGAAAAGCGGGGTGTGGAGGATGAGAGGAGGAAAGGGAGACAGTGGAAGTCTTATTTGGAACCTAAATACATAACAGTGACAAAACAGTAGGGAGGATTAGGAGGAAAGGGAGACAGTGGAAGTCTTATTTGGAACCTAAATACATAACAGTGACAAAACAGTGCTGCTCCAATGGGAAGGGGGCCGGGGAGGATGGAACCTTCAAACCCACTTCCCCACAGAGCCCAGAGATGCCCTGGTGGCCCTAAGGCTCTGAGAAGCATGGCCCAAAATGGCAGGACCAGGAGGCATGCAGCAGTCTTTCCAACCAGGAGATTCCCTGTCCCTGAATTAGATCAAGGACAAACAGTTAATTCACACGAAAGCACTTAACTCCTTAAGGGTAGGACTTGTCTCCATTTTACATTGCCTTTCATTTTAACACCTGAGCAGGGGTCTGAGCTATCTGGGCTTGGGCCCATGTGGTTGGGGCTGCAGTCCTTGCAGGGACGCGGGCATGGACAGTGTGGCAGTGACACACTGGGCAAGGGCACAGAGATGAGTGAAGGAGACCTCTGCCCAGCAACCTCCCAGGCCAAGTTAATTCACACGAAAGCACTTAACTCCTTAAGGGTAGGACTTGTCTCCATTTTATATTGCCTTTCATTTTAACACCTGAGCAGGGGCCTGAGCTATCTGGGCTTGGGCCCATGTGGTTGGGGCTGCAGTTGGGGCATGGACAGTGTGGCAGGGACACACTGGGCAAGGGCACAGAGATGAGTGAAGGAGACCTCTGCCCAGCAACCTCCCAGGCCAGGAGGTATGGCTTCCTGCCTGTGCCTCCTTGGCTGACCAGGCCCGAGCCTCACCTGGGACACCTGAAACTGCCTGGATTCAAATCCAGGCTTCATCTCTCATCAGCTAGGGGACCTTTGGCAAGCCATTTAATAATCTTTAACCTCTCTGCAAAATGAGGCTCTACTACCTCATGAGATTTACGAAAAGGCTCAGGACAGTGCCTGGCATAAAGGAAAGACTGCCAAGAAATAACTGCCACTGTATTTTGTGGCTGCTGAGATTAGGTTTTCGTTTATGACGCAGCGCCTATCTGTCCACCACCACATGGGCCTGGTGGAAAGATGGTTCTCTTGACCTTTGAGGGAGTCTGGTCAGTCTGGCCTTGCCTGCTCACCTCGCCACCCTGCAGCAGCACTGTCTGATTCTTCAGGTCTATCCCGACCACTTGGCCCTGCCGGAAGTTGTCCTTGAAGGTCACAGAATAGGAAATGAAAGTCTTTTTGGCGAACCCTAGGGAATGGACATGAGAGAGGGCACAATGTAGAGCTGAGCTAAAACTTTACAGCACTGTTTACCAACAGGGCACCCTGCCACAGCTGACGAGCATGTGCACCCAGACATCCACTGCCCCTACACTGCCCGGCTAGCCTAGGTCTTTGGAAAACCCCAAGCTCTTACTTGAGGGCCTCATTATGGTAGCTGCTTAAGACCAATTACTGTGAGATTCTCCAAAATGTATCCGTGTGTGTGTGTACACACGTTATTGGGGACTGAACCATGCTAAGCTACATCCCCAGCCCTTTTCTTACAGTTTATTTTGAGACCTGCTCTCACGATTACTAAAGTGCCCAAAGTAAGCTCCAATTATGATCCTGCCTCAGCCTTCCAGAGTACTGGGATTACAAACAGGTGCCACCACACTGAGCTTCTCCTAAATGGAGAAAATCATGTCCCACACTGATGAAAGACTGTCACAAAGGTAGCCCAGGAAAGAAGCACATTACCACTCTCCACAGAGGCCCGGAGGGCGGCCACGTTGTGGTGGAAGGAGTCCTTCATGTCCACCAGCGTGAAGGGGAAGTTCAGCGCCTGTAGCTGGCTGGCAGCCGCAATGCCACCAAAGCCCCCGCCCACAATCACCACATGTAGAGCTCCTGTGTCCACTGAGACCTGGGACCCCATCTCGAACAGGCACTGCTGGGCTGGGAGAAGAGACATCAGAGTCAGGGGGGCTGGGAAGACAGGCCTTTACCAGAAGCATCCACCGTTACCAAGATTGTGTAAACTCTTCCAGAGACAACCCACACACCCACAGTCATCATGGCTATTTCTGCACATGTTAAACTAACTGTTCAGCCAGGCACAGTGGTGCACACCTATAACGCCAGGTACTAGGGAGGCCAAGGAGGAAGGCTGCTATTTCAAGGCCAGCCTGGGCAACCTGGTGAGACTTTTTCTCAAAATAAAAAATATAAACTACTTGGGATGTAACTCTAAAATCTCTGGGTTCAGTTCTCCGTACCCTCAAACAAGTTAAAAACTGTTGTGTATATTGTTTTTACCCATTATATTTCATTAAAGCCTGTGGAAAAGGTAAGGTCACTCAACAACACGTATGTGTTGAGCTCCTACTCTCTGACAGGCTCTTGCTGGGGATCCTATGGTCAGACAGAGAGGGTACCAGCCCTGAGAAAGACGAAGTCTACAGAGTAAAGGATGAGACAGCAAGCGAGAGGCTCTGAGTTCGATTCCCAGTACAAAAAAAAACACAGTAAAAGATGAGGGAGGTGATGCAAATGATGCAGGAAGCTGGGCAGGTAAACAGCAGAAAATGGCAGGGCAGGCTGAGGGACCAGCTGGCACAGGGCACAGCCACAGGGAGAAGATTCTTTAAGCCTTGTGCTAAGCAAACAATGAATCCCTTTCCTGCAAGACTCCCTGATCACCAGGTAGAGACCCAGACCCGAAGAGGTCAATTAGCAGAGTGTGACGGACATCCTGCAGAATGGGGTGTGGCTATGGGGTGATTGCGGTCCCCAAAAGGCAAGGGCTGGGAATTTAATTCCCAATGTGACAGTGTTGGGACCTGATGGGAGGTGCTTGGGTCGGGAAGGTTCCCCTCTGTGCACGGATAAATAACAATTACAACAGCCCTGGAGGCCACTGGGCGGGCATGATGGCACACGCCTGTAATCCCAGCACTCAGGAGGCTGAGGCAGGAGTGAAAGTTCCAGCCCAGCCTGGGCAACTTAGCAATTTAGTGAGATCCTCCTGAAAGGAAGGAAGGGAGGGAGGGAGGGAGGGAGGGAAAGAAAGCGGGGTTGGGTAGGAAGGAGAAAGAAAGGAAGAAAGCAGAGAAAGGAAGGAGAGAAAGAGAGAAAATGAGAAAGGGAAGGAAAAGCAAAGAAAGGAAGGGAGTGAGAGAGGTTGGGTGGGTGGGAGAGAGGGAAAAGAAGGAAAGGAAAGGAAGGGAGGAAATGGGCTGTGGATGCAACTCAGACTCTGGGTTCAATTCCTTGTGCCACAAAAGAAAAAAAATTGACCTCGTCTGTGGCATTGCTACTGCAGCACAAATGGACTGAGACAGATACTGTGTGAACTGAGGCCATGACAGTGGGGTGGGGAGGAGTCTGCAGGTGTCAGGTCTCCCCGCTGCAGCATTCCTGGAACAGTGAGGGGACATGCACGCCCCAAGAGATGGGGACAGGAAGAAAGGCCTGCCGGAGAAATCTTGAAGGAATATCTGCCAATAAGGAAGTGGGTGGGTGAAGGATACGCCTGATCAGGCAAGCCGCACAGTGATGAGTGGGATGACAGCAAGGGAGCGATCCTCTGAGGGGCACATGAGCAGAGGCAGTGTGGCCCCAGGCTCCCCCTCACCCACAGCCCGACCAGGTCCCAGCAAAGTGACAGCAAAACTCGCTTGAGTCCCAAGGGGATAAAATCCAGGCACCCCTGGCCCAGAGCTGGAAGCTGAGGCCACTGGAAACAGAAGAAAGGGCTGGGTTGGGTCACTGGGAGCTGAACCACGGAGCATAGAGGGAAAAGCAGCCAAGTTCCCCGGTTCCCTCGTTCCATCTGGGAGGCTGGTTGACAGGGCCACCCACACATGCAGGGTCCACTCCGGGGTGCCAAAGTGCTGGGTTGGGGTTCCAGCCAGGGGATCTGTCTTCCAGCCCAGCTAACCCCAGAGGACACATAGGAGGTGGCCTTCAGACAGGAAGCAGGCTCGCTGGTGTAGGAGGAGCCACCCAGCCCAGACAAGGGACAACTGATTGCAGCTGAGGTGCTGGGTGCAGCTGCAGGTTGCTGGGGGAACACTGGCTAGGGGGACGGACCACCAAACCTCCTCCAGGCCTGTGCCCGACCATAGGTGGGGATGCTGGAGAGCCAGTGAGGACAGAAACAAAGCTCTCCCTGCAGAGAGAGCGGCCAGACAGGCTCCACCACTCTGGGCTTTAGGGAGCAGGCGGTAAACGGGTAACACAGGGGTGTCTAGGAAGAACCAAGTGGACTCGGAGGTCGGCCTTGAAGGACAGACTTGAGCTGCTTCAAGGGGGAGCATGGTTGGCTGGGGCACGATCTATTCCCTCTGTGGGCCTTGACTTACCCCCTATAGCCAGAAAGGATTATAGGGCCTGACCTGCTCTGAGCTTTCCTTGTACACACAGGGTTCCAAAACACGCTGCCCTGTGAGATGCTCCCAAAATCTTCCCACACTACTGAGAGGGGTGGCATGGTTAGAACCCTGGGCACTGTTTTCATCAGTGTTCAAATGCTCACCCCCAACCTCTGGCCGGGGGAGGAAGGCACAGAGGAGGGAGGGCAGGTGGGGCACAGGGGACGGGAGGGGATTGAGAATTGTTTCTCACAGGCCAGATGCTCTCCCCTCACCAGTGCACTGAGGCTTGAGGGGCCCACCTATCTTACAGATAGAGACACTGAGTCCTAGGCAAGGCTGGGACATCCCCCAGGTTCTCACAAGGGCTGATCCCAAGCATTCATCAGGCTGAATCTGAAACTGGGCCAGAAGGAGCCTATCTCCTGGGGATGGGGACCCAGGAGGGCACAAGGTCCCAGCCAGGGGCAGGAGTGGACACCCAGAGCTGAGCAGGGTCTGGAAACGTGGGCAGTGATGAGGCCAAGGGTGATGTGTGTGTCTCTTGTCTTCTCCAGCATGGGTTCCTCTGTGGTCAGGCCCTGCCCTTGGGGCTGGAAGCCAGTGACAAGGTCAGGAAAACATCCAGAAAACCTCACTTCCAAGCTGGCTGGGCACAGGTGCCAAGAAGGGGTCACAGCGTGTTGGGGAAGGTCACCCCAGACCACCCAGGAAGGCTCAAGGACACCCTAGAGCTCTGAATAAAAGTTGCGGGGCAGGAGCCTTCCCAGCAGAGGAGACAGCTTAGGCCAGAGGCTCAGGCAGGAAAGCAGGGCAGAAGCAGCTAAGACACACATGGCAGAAAGGTGGGGAGGCCAGGAAGGCAGGTGACAGAGGCCAGCACAGACATCACTGGGGGCCTGTCACACCAGGGCAGCTGTAACACCAGGTGGCAGACCCCATGAGCGAGGACTCTCCTAGCCAGCAAAAGCCAGTGTTCCCCAGGCAGGCCTCACAGGCAATGAGCGGGCCCCAGCATCACCTGCTTCCCCCCTGAGCCGACCCTGGCCTCCCCCACTAGGCACACCCCCTTCCCCGTGACGCAAACGGCTTCTCTGACTTTGCAGTGGACGCCAAGGCGGGGCCTGAAGGTGCACCAGGCCTCGGGGGACACTAGGGAAGGGCTAGGGGAGGGCCGGCTTCTCCCCTGCTGCCTGAGGCCTCTCCTGGAGTCTGACTTTCTCTCTCCTCTACTGACCTCTGACACCTTGGTTTGCCCGCGGTGGCCGGCGGCTTTCCAGCACATTTCACCCTTCAGCAGCAGCCCTTGCCCAACACCCTTGGACACACCGACCCCCCTTGGCACGGCCCACGTCAATTCTTGCCTGGCTCCTAGGACAGCTGGACTCCCCTCTGCCGGACAACACCTACTTTGTCAGACACTTAAATTAAGGGTTTAAGCCACGGACGTGCAGTTCCAGCCGCACACCCACCAGGCACTTAGAAGGCACACGTGCAAGGAGTCAGTGTTCCGATTCTGCGTGCTGCCGGGTGTCAGTGCCGTTCGTCCTGGAAACCATGGACGGAAGATTCCCAGATGAGCTATTACACATTCATAAAATGGAGGTGTCTGCAGTTACTCATGTTTATTCTTGTTTGTTTTCTCGGGGGGGTTTTTCCCTGCTGTTTAATTTTAAAGGATGAATGATATTTTTATATGACAAAGGCCAGGCAACAGAAACACACATAAAGCCGGAGGTGAGACTCGTGGAATTTGGTACGTACACACACTCGTGTGATGACAACACTAGGAGGCATCAGCTGCACTCTCACCTGTGTCTTTGTGGTTAATAGGTGTAAGGGTTTCTCCCTATCTTGGGGAAAAGTTCAATAACTTTTTTCCATTACTCATCAGACCTGGCCTCTGCTCGGAACCAAGATGTTAATAAGTCACTGAAGATGATGGGTTTTTAAAAATCTTTCTTGAACTTTTCATTTTGCTTAGACTTTTAAAATTATTTTTTCAGTTTTTTTCTTGGTACCAGGAATTGAACTCAGGGCCTTGCGAGGCAGGCATGGTGCCACTAAGCTATATACCTAGCCCATTTAGATTGTTTTTAAACAATTATACAACATTTGTACAGAAATAATAAAGCTTTTAAATGAGATGCATCTAAGGGCTGGGGATTTGGCTCAGTGGTTCCGCACCTACGTCGCCAGCACAAGGGCCCGAGTTCAATTTCTGGTACCAAAAAATATATATATAGATAGATAGATAGATAGAGAAAGAGAATAGATTAAAATAAGATGGATCTATCACCATCTAATTTTTTAAGCAAGATACAAATAATCAAAAATATGAATGTTTACATTTTCTTTAATGTATTGCAATGAAAGACACATTGCCATTAATCCCACTTAAAATACTGCCCCTGCTTCAAACACATCCATTCCATCATTTCTGCCAGAAGCTGTCCTGGAAGCCTGGTGACAGGAAACTGCTGAGTCATATGGTAATCCCCAGTTTCACTCTTTTTTTTTGAGACAGGGTTTCACTGTATAGTTCAGGCTGGCCTTGAACTCACATACTCATGGGGATACTCA